TAAAGAATTATATAATTCTTATGTTTGCACATAAGTCCAAAATCTCACCATATACAACCTTGAAGCAGGACAGTCCCACAATATTCCTTTTCCTGTCTCCAGTAAAAATTTAAATGTGGTAAAATGAACCCTACCCATAGCATATATTTATTTACTCCTTATGAGTGCTTTGGAACACCTAAGTGTGCTATCTGATGCATATGGTACAGTCAAAATGTTTCCTATGAAGGTGATGCTCTATTTAAAAGAAAACTTTAGGGGCTGGGGTATAGCTCAGAGGCCCAAGTGTCTGCCTGGAAAGTGTAAGGTCCTGAGTTCTATTCCCAGTATCCCTCCTAAAAAAGTTGATTGAAAGAAGCAATGTTTATGTGTTTGAAAGCATTTTTGAATTATTGCTGTGCTATTCAAAAATTTTATTGATAACAAGATTACTAGAGCATAAAATCAGTCTGCTTTTGGTTTTTCCTGTCCACTTGAAAAATACTAAATGGCTACTCTTAGTGAGACCCCTTTATGATGAGTCTTCTTCGCTCCCTTCCCCTCCCCTCCCCTCTACTGTCTCTCCCCCCCCCCCCCGTCCCTTCCCTTCCCCTTCACCCCAGGTACCTCTTTCCACTGCACACTTTAACCACAGCATGGAGCTCTTGGTGGTAGACTACTTGAATCTCCTTTTAGAATTGTGCTTGTGTCTTGGCTATAAGAGTTAAAGCTGTCTGAGGGCTTGTGAGGTCCAGAGTGTATTATAGTTGTGTGAATGTGTGTGCTATTTGTTTACTCCTCAGATGAACAAGGAATATATCAAAATGTGTCTATATCTCTTATGAAACATTACATATTCAGTTCTGTTGTTGTAACTTCTTAAAGTATTCAGTTCCCTTTTTTTTTTTTTGCGGTACCGGGTACTGAACTCAGGACCCTTCGCCTGCCAGGCAAGTGCTTATTCTAATGAGCTATCTCCTCAGGCCCAGTTCCTTATTTTGATATCATTTGCTCACTGTTTATTATGTTTCCAGTGAGTTACAGGCTTGTGAAAACACTGATCCTTTTACTTCAGTTGACTGGTCAGAGCTGACAAGAACCATTCCAGTTTCTCATGTTTCCCTAGCTGTACTATCTTCTGTTTACCAGTGTCCAAAGAGTACATCCCTGTTTTTGTGGCAATGTGGTATGAAAAAAATTGGGAAAAACTGAGTTAATTTACAGTTATACCCAGATCATTGATCATTTAAAATATTACTACATTTGTACATGTGCTTTCTTGCGTGCAATTATGTAACAATGTATTAAAATCTTAGAATTGTGTTATATTTACAAATTCAAAATTTAAAAACAGCTTTCTTTGCTGTAGATGTAAAAATGAGTAATTTTTAGTTTATATATTAATTATTTAAGATGTGATGCTATTTATATTGCTCTTATAGATCCTTCCTTGGTTGAAAATACTGGTCTTGATAATCCTGAACAAAAGTCATTTGAGAAAACAGGTAGAAAACTACTGAAGACTTTAGCAGCACCTGAGATGCTGCCTGTCTTGGATCATTGGAATACTCAAACTAAAAAAGTATCACTCAGAGAAATAATGTCAGAAGAAATTGCCTTGCAGGAAAAGCATTTGGTATGAGTTAATATGAATATTACATTGTTGTCTTTGATTCTAGTTTATTATTTTTGCTTACTTTGTGATATTCATTTATTTCTGTGTTTCCTAGTCTAGAAGCTACATTTAACTTGGTGAAGTTAATGTTATAGTTAAGATTTTTATTCGGAGATAGAGTTTTGCTATGTAGTTTAGGCTGGCCTTGAATTCACCATGTAGCCCACACTGGCCTCAAACTCATGGCATCCTCCTGCCTCAGCTTCTTGAGTGCTAGTGTTGCAGGCATGTATAAGCATACCCATTTGAAACATAATTTAGGTGTATTCTGAAGTTGGAAGTTTTGCTTTTAGGTAGTTGATATTCTAATAGTAATCCTTCTGTGTTATTTCTGTTGTCTTAGATTTAATTTTGAAGGTGATTAATATGCATCATTTTTAGCTTTAATATTTACCTCTAGCTTTTTATTTATTTTTTTTTTAATTAATTCAAGGTTTTGCTGTATAGTCCAGGCTGGCCGTAGGCTTGTGGGGTTTGTCCTTCTCAGCCTCCCTCATGCTAGGATTACAGGCATGCAACATGCCCACCTACCTCTGATTTTTTATTTATTTATTTATTTAATTTTTATTTTAGGGGAGAGTCTATAGGGTGTTCAGGGTCTCACTACTAGATTAGACTCAGTGATTCTCCTGTTTACAGCCTCCCAAGTGCTGGGATTACAGGTGTGCACCACCACACCCAGTCTCAATTGCTGCCTCAGTGTGCCCTGGGGGCAGGGCTGGCACAGCAGGCCAGGTGATCAAACCCCTGACCCTTACACCTGCTTGCAGGCACTTTAATCTGCTGAGCTATTTAAGTGGCCCTCTACCTCTGATTTTTTCAATGTTAGAAAAACATGAAAGAAATCTTTCATTTAAAGATAAATTCATGCATAAATTAGTAGTGTAAATTTTCATCTTGCTAGTAAACATGTGTTCATCTTTAATTTAATTTTTTTTTTTTTTTTTTTTTGTACCAGGGATTAAACTCAGGACCCTGCACTTACCAGGCAAATACTTATTCTACTAAGCTATCTCCCCAGCCCTAAAATGATTTTCAGAGAATTTCAAAAACTTAATGGATTTGAGTTTTAAAAATTCTTTTCTAATGTCAGTTAAACAAGTTTAAATAGAAATTTTACTTTGAACTTTTTTTTTCTTATTCTGTCATAGCTAATTATATGAAGCTGTGAGTAAGCTTGGCTTCTTTTGCATTTTTGTCTTTTATTTTTGAAACAATATTAAAAAATTTCAAAATGAAAATGGAAAAGACCTTCGAAGTTATTTAGTCTGCTTCTCAAAAAACAAAAATAATTCTTAGTAATCTTAGCCAACGATTTTTGTACTCTTCTTAACTCATTAACTGCTCAGTCACTTTTATATTTGGATATAATACATAGAATTGGGGCATCGAAAGAACGATGGGATTCTTCAGGCTTATTTTTTCTAGTTATCTTGTTAATTAAATTGGTAGCATACTATCATTATTATCTTTGCACCTTTACATAAGCAAGGAACAATCTCATTGAGTAGTGGTGCCTTATAATTTAAGTATTGTTTCAAATATCCTCAGATATATATATATGTATATATATATATATATATATATATATATATATATATTAAACTGAAAAAAGGATTTTCTGTAAAAAAGTAAGGAACACCTAACATTTCCTCCCAAATAGTTAAAGTTTTGCTGTAATTCCTTTTTCCAATATAAATTTACTTTTATAGCCCTAGTCTGTTTTCTTTTTCTCAATATGATGACCTCACAATTTAGGGCACTTTTTACTGCCAGTGATAATTTGCTAGTAGAAGCTGGATGACTTAGCCTTAAGGAGACTTCACATAGCTCTCAGTAGAATTTCTTGGTGTTTTCTCTTTACTCTTTTTGTCTCCAGAGGAGAAATAACATTTTGTATAATTTTTAAACAAACAACATAAACCAAATTTTATGTATGGTATAAGCGTGGAATAGCTTAAGATGATTAAAGATATGAGTTTTCAGTTCATTGAGGAGATGTTAGAATTTATATTGTATAGCTCAGCAGATTAAAGTGCCATGCCCTGGGGGCATGCTGGCAATTGAGAGGGCATGGTGGTGCGTGCCTGTAATCTCAGCACTTGGGAGGCTATAAATAGGAGGATCACTCCGAGTCTGATCTACACAGTGAGACTCTGTAGACCCTGCCCTAAATAAAAAAAAAAAAAAATTCAGAAACTATGACCTGATAGATTACTATAATAAATCTCACTATTGACTTTAAAATAAATAAATTCAGATTATAATGCATATCTTAAATAAAATATGAAATACTTAAATTCTTGAGGTGGCTTTTCCCACGACCCTTGTCATTTTGTCAGTCCTTTTTCCTGGTCAGATTTTCACTTACTGTTTTTTTTTTTTTTTTTTTTTTTTCTTTTAGTTGTTTGGTGCTATCCATGGCTTAACTATAGCAAGGCTTCAAAACAAATATGTATTTCAAGGTTATTTTGGATTATTATGATTTTTTTTATTACTGTGATTTTTTAAATTAAGAAATTTTCAGAATCATCTTTATTATTTTTTTCAGTGCTTAGGTTCTTTATAGCAAACAAAAGTATTCAGTTGCATCGCAGTGTGGACAGTGTTAGAAACCACTTAAGTCACTTTAAGAATGTTTGCCATAGGGCCAGCCAGGTAGCTCAGCAGACCAATACACCAAGCAAGGCCAGGCTTCATTCAACACCTGGCATGGGGTGCCAGCCCCACCTTCGGCATGCTGATACTGTGTGTGGTGGCACTCGCTTGTAATCCCTGCACTTGGAAGGCTGAAAACAAGAGGATCACTTGAGTCAGATCTGTGAAGTGAGATCCTGTAGACCCTGTGCTAAATACATTTTTATTTTATTTATGTATGTATGTATGTATGTATGTATGTATGTATGTGTGTGTGGCCAGCTCAGCCCACCAGGGGGCGGGGCTGGCTGGCATGTGGTGCTGGGGGATTGAACCGCAGTCCCTGTGCTTTGCTAAGCTTGTTCTAAGTAGGTGCTTTAGACCACTGAGCCATCTCACCAGCCCTAAATACATTTTTTAAAAAAGCATGTTTACCATAGTCCTAGGTTAGAATTAAAATAGCATATTTTATGAAAGTTCTTTTAGCTTGGCAGTGCCAGGCTGGCAGGTCCAAGTATGAATTGTGAAAAATAATAATTTTAAAGTTATTTTAAAACAGTTATGTTTGTAAAAAATAGTTATAAATTCTAAGATTTTTCTGTGAACCTGATTTGTGATATCTTTATACTCTGTAGTTTCTGCCCATTGAGAATTTTTTTTTTTTTTTTTGAGGATATTGTTAACAGCATCAGACAGTGTATCTTTTGTTAAGACCCATGGGAGAAATTTCTGTCAGGTGTCAGTACCAGAAAAGCTGTACGTCAGAGCAGTTGGTTTGTTTTTATTTTGTGGACACTGAGAGTCTTTGTTTTCTCCTTTGCTTTTGTCACTAGGAAGCTCAGAACTAAATTTGTGGTCTGGGCTGTTAGTAATTGTACAGGATTTTGTGGTATTGATTTATATTCTGGTTTATCTTTCTCGCTTTAAATTTTTTTTGTCTAATAGCCAACTTTATTTATATCCTATTTATATATATAGTCATGTCTGGATTAATAACAGGGTAGTGTTTTAAGAGATGTGTCATTATGCAATTTTGTTATCGTGTGAACTTAGGCAAGCCTGGACAGTGCAGCCTATTGCATACTTGTGTCTGGATAGTTTAGCCACTGATGTATATGCTGTCAGCCATTGGCTGATACATTGTTGTGCAGTATATGACTGTATGTCTCATGTAACATGATTGGATGTATGGAATGTACATGTGTGCATATATTTATATATACATGCACACACATTTGTATATGTCTGATTGTATTATGTCTATATATGAACAATTTCAAATAGTTTGCAAGAATGAGAGATAACTAGTGTGAGAATCCTTAACACTAATAATTTAAGCCTTTAATCAAAGAAAGTTTGATTAATGTTATTAATTAACTATAAGTAATTTTTACAATAGGTATGCTTTTTATTAGCTTTGTTAGTGTTTGAAGTTTCATCTTAAGGCTGATGTGTTTTATTTTAGAAAAGGGAGACACTTATGTTTGAAAAAGATTGTGCCACTAAACTAAAGGAGAAGCAGCTTTTTAAGATGTTTCCAGCCATTGATCAAAATTTTCTGATGGACATTTTCAAGGATCACAAGTGAGTACTGAAGGATGTCTGTATTTTCTGTTTGGATGTCACTGGATATGCCAATCAATCTTTGATGCTTAGTTTTCTGTAAATATTATATAAAGATTTCAAATGCAGTGTACTTGGTGAGCAGTTTCTGGAAATCTGTATTCTTCACTCTTTAAAATATAGGGCTGGTGAGATGGCTCAGTGGTCTAAAGCACCTACTTGGAACAAGCTTAGCAAAGTGCAGGGACCACGGTTCAATCTCCCAGCACCACATGCCAGCCAGCCCCGCCCCCTGGTGGGCTGAGCTGGCCACACACACACACATACACACAAATAAATAAAATTA